AAAATTTCCTCTATGATAGTTAGTGAAACATATTTTGCAGTTTTACGTTTCACTTTACTCTTAACTCCCAAGACTCACGCTATATATATATTTTTAATCAATTTAAAATTAGTTTCTCTATTACTTGTATGTTACGCGAAGCATACCTAATTAATCACTCGCTAGAGTAGTAAAATTTACTTTTTCTTTTGATTTGTTTGGGTTTTCTAATTATGTTTTGCATTTTGTTATTATTGGAATACTCCCTTCAACTTGTGGTGTATACGAATAATTATTCCTCTGTAACGTGTTGTTAATGTAGCAAAATTTATGTTCCTTTTTATTTGATTTGGTTTTTTTTCTTATTAAATCAATTATGTTAATATTTGAGTGTCCTCTTTAATTTAAAATCTCTTATCTTTACATGGTATTTTTATTTCTTCACTCTATTTTTCATATTTATTGTTTCTCTTACTTATCACAAAGTTCACTTCTCACTAATTAATTTATGTTTACATTGATTCATTTTATTAACAACGAGATTTATTATCATTTTTTTTTCATGTGCACAGAAACTTATAATAGCTGCAAATTCAATGAAATGTCAGTATTCTATTTTTCCATTAAATTTTTCGATCTTTTGTTTCATTTAGACAATTTAACAAAATACCCTATCTTACATTCTTAGTTTTGGCTTATCATGTTTTCTAATTTATTCAATCTCTATTAACATTCTCCATTTCTTCTTTATTTCTTATTCATTTTATAATTTCTAAATTTTGACAATTTCTTTCTTCTATATAACAAATAACTTTTACTTACTAATTTACCTTTTGTAAAAATTCATTATTTGTTTAATCACTTGTATATTTGTTACCATTCCACTAAATTTCTCATTAGAATTTTATATTTACGTGATATTACTCCTTAATTATCTTATTTTTCTTGATCATCCGTTGATCAAGGTTTTCAATTTATTTATTTTGTAGTCTCTTTTATGTTCTCTCCAATTTCTATTCAATTCATCTTTTTTACTCAATTTATCATTTCCATAATCTAATCTTCTTGCGTTATTTCTTCAAATTATTTTCTTCTCTTTTATTTTCAAATTTGGAATTCCCACCAAGTTAATTACTCTAAGTCTTCTTTATTTCCCTCTCACGTTTTGCTATTAATTTCCATCAGTTAGATTAATCTTTAAAATTTTTGTTCGTTCAATACCTATTTTGTGCTTTATTAGTTTCATGCACCATATACACTAATCCTTCAAGCCCAACGTAGCCCAAATGAAAAGAAAACGGGCCAAAGCCCAATAATGTTTTATTTTATATAACAAAACCCCACGATAGCCTACTGCTCGAAAACAAACAAATGGCCAGAACCTCACTCTTAACTCTCCCCTCATCTTCTTCCTCCTCCTCCTCCACCTTCCGCTTCTCTTCTTCAACGCCTCTGAAACGCTTCTCTTACTTCCCCAGAAAGCCACCTAAAACCACACCCAGAAGAAGACTCATCTCTCTTTCCGCAACCTCCGTCCAATCACCGACTTCTGACTCACCACTACTTTCAAAGCTCAACATCTTTTGGGAATGGCTCCTCGAACAGGGCGTCGTCTCCGCCAACTCCCCCGTCAGGCCTGCTCTCGTCCCCGAGGGACTAGGACTCGTTGCACAAAAAGACATTTCTCGAAACGAGGTCGTTCTGGAGGTCCCCCAGCGATTCTGGATAAACCCAGATGCTGTTGCAGCTTCCGAGATTGGGTCTGTATGCGGTGGATTGAAGCCTTGGGTTTCTGTGGCACTATTCTTGATCAGAGAGAAGTTGAGGGACGACTCGCCTTGGCGTGTTTATCTTGATGTGCTTCCTGACTCTACTGACTCAACTCTTTTCTGGTGGGTTTAGCTTGTTTGTTTTTCGATGTTCAAGTGTTCTTAATTGTTATATTGGATGTTAGATTCTGGGCTTGATAAATTGTTATTTGGATGGTTCCAGTGCAGGTCAGAAGAGGAGCTAGCTGAACTTCAAGGTTAGTGCTTGTAGCTACTCTTTTCCAGGATATGTTAATTTTAGTTAGATTGTTTTGAGGTTAAAATGAGAAGAGGCTAGGGATATATATTAGTTACTGTGATTAATTTAGTCAAGGCTAGACTTCGTAATGTGCTATAGGATTCATTAGGCTTCCACTGTTAAAATATCCATTCTATGCTTTATCCTTTATATGGGATTGCCTTAATTTCTTGTCATTATTTTTTGCGTGGATTGATGCAGGAACCCAACTGTTGAACACCACATTGGGTGTGATAGAATATGTCGAAAATGAATTCTCTAAAATAGAAGAAGAAATATTACTCCCTTACAATCATCTCTTTCCCTCCCCTATAACATTGGATGACTTCTTCTGGGCATTTGGGATTCTTAGATCAAGAGCATTCTCCCGTCTTCGGGGTCAAAATCTTCTTTTGGTCCCTCTTGCAGATATGGTGAGCTCTTACTTTCCAGCCCTTTTAAATTTTTCTTCTAGATCAAAAATTGAAATGTCTGAATAGCAAATTTAAATTCTCTTGTCCGAAAACGTGTGAACCCAGAGCATTTTGCTTGATTCTCATGACATAACAATAAGAGATTTTCTGCCTTTTCTATCAACCAATATTTCCAGCTTCAAATTGCATGTGCTACCCTATTGGGGTCTAAGCTTATGCTGATTCTTGTACATGTATTTAGCTTTTTCCTGGTTTCTAATTTTATTAGAATGTAACTTCCAAGTGACTCCCAAAATATATATAAACCAAGGAGAGCGAGTAGGCGCTAGCCAAAAAGTGGTTCTTCCAGCTCTCTCAATCGAGAGAGCTTGGGTTCAAAAGTTGCTGCTGTCTCCAGCTTTTACCACTACTAAACGGAAAAAACATAAACCAAGGAGAAGAGCAATGTAGGTCTCCCTCCATGCCCAGGAAAAAAGTAGGTTTCCCTATATATCAGGGTTCCTTTGGTTTCAGATTTTAGCTTGCCCAAGTCTCATAATTAAGTAGTAGCAGAACCGATAACTAAGGTAACTGACCTCTTTTATGTGTAGCACTTTCACTTTAAGATAAGAAAATGGAATCCACTTTCTTACTGTTTGTTTCTTTGATTTCTGTGAACATTGCTCTTTGACCAGATCAACCACAGCTCCAGCATAACTACAGAAGACTATGCATATGAAATCAAAGGAGCAGGACTTTTTTCTAGGGATCTTCTATTTTCTTTGCGGTCCCCAGTTTCTGTTAAAGCTGGTCAGCAGGTGGAGTTTTCAAATTGAGAACATTTCTTGTTTTAATAATCTAATTTGGATTCTAATGTATATTAGGAGCTCTGAGGAAGACTACTTGTTTTCTGTATTTAACTTGGGTAGTTGGAGTAGAACTGAAAAGTATAGGCATTAATGTCTGAGACATGTGATATGGTTACTTCTTGCTGTGTAAACTGAACTTCAGGTTTATATGCTCAGAGAATGTTATGATGAGATCAAAGCAATCACCTCATCAACACTAGAAATTCACAAACTTGGCATTAGTATATTTTGATAAAGGACATGGCCCCTAAGTCAGCTTAAATGAATTATGATCTTGTTGAATTCAATATGTTTACATGATATGACCTACTCAGGATTTTTCAACAGGTTTTCATCCACTACGATATGAATAAAAGTAATGCTGAGTTAGCTCTGGATTACGGGCTTGTCGAACAAAAAGCAGATCGCAATGCATATACCTTAACATTGGAGATCTCAGAGTCCGATCCCTTTTTTGGAGATAAGCTTGACATTGCTGAGTCCAATGGTGTGGGGGAGGTTGCTTACTTTGACATTGTTTTGGGCCAAGATCTTCCACCTGCAATGCTTCCGTACCTGAGACTGGTAGCACTTGGGGGAACTGATGCTTTCCTCCTGGAGTCTATTTTTAGAAACACAATCTGGGGACATCTCGATTTGCCTGTAAGCCGTGACAATGAAGAACTGATCTGTCGAGTTGTCCGAGGAGCTTGCAAATCAGCACTTTCTGGTTATCATACCACCATTGAAGAGGTAAAACATTTAACTTGCACATCTGCGTATACGTACTTGAAGATTTCAAATCATGCACATACCCAAATATATCACAGAGCTGAGTTCCCATGGGAAGCTGAATTAGTGAAGTGAATTATTGCGTCAACTGTTTCTATTTTTTGTGCTTTTTTACTAACAACTCTAATTTCTGCTACATGGATCTTTGTTATGACTAGCTTAATCACTGGTTATATAGTTAGTTCAATCATACCACCTTCTACCTACCACATTTCAATTTATTATTTATCGGTTTACCCTTCACGGTTTCTATTTAGGATTCTATGTTATAATGCCTGAAACTTTGTATTCATCTAACCCTTTCAGCTCCTTGGATCTCTTCAAGAATTGAAGGGAATATTTATGCTCACATATCCTGGTGCCTTAATTTATTAAATTCAATTGGTAATTACAGGATGAGAAGTTGCTGGAAGGAGGAAAGCTTAATTCGAGAACCGAAATTGCACTTAGAATAAGAATTGGGGAAAAGAGGGTGTTGCAACAGATTGATGAGATCTTCAAGGAGAGGGAATCTGAGCTGGATATTTTAGAATACTACCAAGAAAGGCGTCTCAAGGACCTTGGTCTGGTTGGGGAGCAAGGTGAAATCATATTCTGGGAGCCCAAGTAGGAACTTTATTTGCTTTTGCCTTCTTCAATGGGATGATATGTATGCACTCAATTTGCTGATACACCTCCATGTCAAAGCTGGCTTGAGCATTAGTAAAACAAGTTGTAGGAATTTTTTTTTTCCTGGATTCAGGCGACTTATGTTGATATCAACTATATTATCAGGTTAGAAGAGGAACTTATCTTGCCATTGTTTTTCCTCTAATTACTGTAACAAAAAAGTTTGTCATAGTGCAGCAATCTTGGCTATCAATATATTTATCAGCTTAAGCTTAATTATCATTTTGAAAACGAAGGATAATTTGAATCTGTCACCTTGGAGCAGTGGAACAACTTGAAGCTATAACACATGTACCTTTGATTGTTAACTTACGTGGTAGTTACTCAGACAGAAAGTAACAAGGGGGGAAATTAAAAACTATCAACAAAAAAAATGGACGAAAGGAAAAAATAAGATCATTTGATGCTCCAATGGGAGCTCAAAGTTCTTGGGGGTTTGCATGCGTAGCAGAACCTTCTGTTATAGAAGCAACTTGGAATTGTTCCGTGTATACGAGTGGTACAATTGCATGGGAAACCATTTGTAATGGAGTTCAGCTCATCCATGCAATGGCTGTATTTCAATCAAATTTCTGGGGCCAAGTAACTTATCACAGTTTGTTCCTTCACAAAGGCATTCTTGAGGGTTAGCATAGAAATAATCTTCCTCTTTAGGTTTGTCGGCAATAACTATCCGTCGAGTAGGTTGCCCCATTCTTCTGTCATGTGCTTTACGCACAGCAGCTGCAAACCTGTCCCATGAGAGTGTACCATTCTGATGCATATCAACCAATTCTACAAGTCTTTTCCTATCTAGTAGTATGGTCTTCTTAAACCCTAGGTACCTGCAGGGGATGTAATTAGGAACATTCTCTTTAACTTTTCTGTTGGTACAGCCAGTATTGTTGTCTTCATTAAGAGATTCCTTAAGGAGAAAAAGAAAGAAAATTTCATTGTAGAAGAGGTGTAACTACCTGCGGTGACCTTCCACAAGTTTTGCCATATTTCCGTAATATGTGGGGATGAAAGCATTGCTCGCTATTGATACCATAAAATCTAGAGCTGCCATTTGAGATGAATGATTCTGGAATAGCTGCAGTTCTACCGAATCCAACAACATTTCTTTTTTCACCTGCAATTATAAAGAAGTACTGAAATCTGGATGAATATTATGCAATGTGCATAAGAAATTGATGTTCTAGACAAGTATATGTATGCATAATTGGGTTAAACTTGCATCTGATGCATCAGGTTCACACATTTGTTAGGAGGAAGTTCACTGAGAAACAATTTAAACAATAAAGGCAGTTTATCCTTCACGTGGTTATTTGCCAATGTCATGTGGCAGATCTATCTGAAGGGCATAACCGCTAGGGCAACAGGAATTAATGGAGAAAAGATTCAATATCACAGAATCGACCAGTTTTCTTAATCAAATAATTATGGTATCAGAGTTTGGGAAAAAGCCGATATCAAGGTGCTAGAGTTGACAAACATATTTAAAATGCAAGTTGCAGATTCACTAAATTACAAGTAACAAGAAAACAAATAGCAACAAACTCACAATTCTTGGATATACGGCTCTTAGTGCTGCTAGCCTCCTCTCACTGCCATAAATTTCACCAGATGCAATATAAATCTGTGTATCTTTATCAAAACCCAATGCTTGCAAAATTAATGTTGTCTCTTCTGGGGTTAGAGGACATAAACCTTGTGCTCTTCTCTCTTCGGACACTATCTCTTTCTCCCTCCACCAAGGGTATGCGTACCTGAAAGAATGAGGCAAAACCATACAGTCAATATTTTTAAAGTACTTTAAAAAATTCAGAATAGATGTATAATGTCTGAATGAATTATACACCAGTTTTTGCTCCCTGGATCCAGCCTCCCTTAAGAAAGAAGCCATCGCCATAATAGATTAAATCGAGATAAGTAGACAGTGGCATTTCATTATTCATTTGGCCTACAAGGCTACAGGTGGACAAGTATTTGGACCATTTGGGATAAATTTAGTTATTGCTGCTTATCAATGTTGAATTATCAATCGTTCAGTATCCTTTTTAGACAAGATTTAACAACTTTATGGTCTTTGGCTACGCTTTCTAGCTTTATACATCACTCTCCCGTATCTCTAGCACCTACTAAATAAAAAGTGGAAACCTTCTCTAAAAAAGGATTTTCTCAATAACCTGGATAAGGAAAACCATCCATTATACTTTTAAAAGATTTAAAAAGATGACATATCAGTGTTTAACCCACCTCATCCTTTTTAGCTCCTCAGCTTCTGCCTCAGTGCAGCCATGAGTGCAACCCGAGAACGCCAACATGTCCATCTCATACCTTAGATGCAAAGCCACAAAAGGTCCTTTTGCTTGAAGAATATGGACCAATTTATACCCCAAAGCTTCAATTTGAGGAGTGAATTTCAGTCCCTGAAAATTTACACGGCACCTGAGTTTCTGCAAATCAAGGGGAAGACCATTGTTTGCCAGGCGTGTATCGGTTTTGTTGAAGTGTAAAACTTTGTGTTTGGTGAAAAGAGGTAGTATCTGTACAAGTCAAACAATAGATTAATATGTGCAACACGAGAATGCACACCTACTGCCTACACGCTGTAACAGTGAAGTTATTCAATCAGGACAATCCAAAATCAATAAGCATTGGCTCAAATAGTTACATCCACACCCTCTTCTGTGAGGGTGAGGTTCAAGCGGTCAATGGCTCAGTAGTTATTGTGGTGTTTCCCTCTTGTTCCCCAAGCTATGCATGCCCCTCCTTCCCCCCCTCCCAGAACACATGCAGAATGTTTTTCTCAAAACTAATTATTTCAGACAAACCTGTTGCAAATAGTATTTTTCATCTGACCAGCTAATAGGTGGCATTTCAAGTGGCTCATATCCATATTTCCTATTAAACCTCTTTGGCAGCCGCTTGACAATCCGAACCTCATCTCTTAAAGAATCGATGAAATGTCTTACATCAAATATGTCCTCAAAATCACTGCAGAAAGAATGATCGCTCAAAATTTTTTGAAGAGTACAAAGTGAGGAAATAAGGACAAAAAATTCAGAAAAACAAACATGCCTAGGATCGGCCCAGAAAGATGTTTTATCAAGCTCTGGAACAACCAAAGTGAGATTCAAAAGACGAGCAACAGTCACCATATCACAGATCTGAAAAATGTAATTGAATTACTTAGTGGCTTAAGATAGGAAAATAGAAGCCAAGCAAAGGAACAAAGGAACAAATACAAACCGCAGCACGCATTTGATTCAAGCCCCCATTGCATGACACTCTGAGAAAACCGTTACTGGAATAGTTTCCTGCAAAGTTTCAATTGTTAATATCCATTTCACCCGAAGCAAAACTAAAATCTAAAACATGTCAGCCAGTTAGGTTATTGTTGGAATAAATCCAGATTTTTTGTGGAATTTATTTGCAAATCCACATAGTTCAATCAGAAAATGGTTAAGTCCTATAATGACGCATTCCAAAATCCATCAATTTTTTTTTCTAATGGAACTTACATCATCCCTAATTGAATCAAATGTAAAGTTTCAAATAAATTCCACAAAATTTATAGATTTATTCTAAAAATAGCCTCAGAAAGCATGGACATAATTCCTCCAAGAAACAACAAAAAAAAGAAGCATGTATATATATAAAACACGACAAGTTGAAACTTCAAGAGAAAAATGGACCCGTAAAAACAAGTTTTAAAGATGTTAATGCTTTGACGTAATAATTTTAGAAGAGAATAGAAAAGATATCCGAAGATATAAGAAAACAAAAATGTAGGGCAGAGACCCCAAGATAACATCTATTTGGAAAGATAGAGGCATACCACGATAATAAAACTGTCAAAAAGAAAGAAGATCAAGAAACGAGAAAATTTTAGCACTTTGAAATGTAAAGAGACAACTAGAATGGCCTATTTGATCTAGTGCATGAGTTCTTCTGCAGGGTCAGAATATAAAAATGAAACGTTTCAGTAAATGAGGATATAACAGTAACAATCTAACAGACTATGTTGTTTATGTGTAATGCAACTGAGTGACTTCTCATTAGTAATTTAGGTATAACTAAAGTAAAGTACTTCCAATTAAATGGATTTTGAAATTAGAGTTTATTTTTCATAAATTTCTATATAGTAGATGTCATAAAGGATTAACCTCATAAATAGGGTTAAAGTGACATAAACTGGCTACAAGGACAACAACGGCAAATCTTTTTCTTTGAATGACAACAAAAGCAAACTATGCTGATCAAGGATTTGCGCATTTACAATATGGCAAATGATTATATATTATGTTGGCAACTGGAGAGATGACAGTCAGAAGCTGCAAAGTTGTTTACTTTGACGCTTCTATAATGATCAACAACCTACTTGTCAATTTCGTTAAAAAAAATTGTCAAAATAAACTAGTTGATTGGCAAGCCAGTAACAAGATCATGCTTGAGATGCATGGCTTTCTCGCAGGCAAGTCAGTTTTCAGTTAACTGATAAAAAGCCCTCCATATCCAAGTCAGTGCTAAAGTAAGAATTGGATTTCACCTGTATTTTCATAAATCTGCTGGGCTGTTTAGTTTACAAATACAGCAACAGAAAGGTGTATCAAAGAATCTTTAGCATTGTTGTATGGACAAATGTACTGGAGATTAATAAATTCCAATTTCAAAAGACCAGCTTCTTTTTGTATCAAATTTCCACAGTTACGTGCCAAGCTCTTACCCAGTCACTTTAGTCATTTGAGATAACGTATGCCTTCAGCATACTGATAGCATATTTCCCTAGAAGCCATTTTACTTAAAAATTGTTTGTTTGTCAACAGTAAATACTCCCGTATAAGTATTGACTGAATAACTAAAACTACAATGATTTAGCTTAAAACAGATAACAACCAAACATAATTGTTGATCTTATCCCTTAAACAACCACACTACTCTCCAGAAGCCTTCACCATGCCCGTTATATCCAACGTCAAAAGTAATCAAGGCTCTCAGCATTACTCACATATACTCCAAAACGAAAGATCCCATTTACCCTACCATCCCACAATTACTAGGAAAGACCAAGCATTAGTGCACAGAAAGCAACCTAATTCAACCAATTTCATCAACTTGGCTCCAAATAAACAGCTCAAAAGACACTATGAAAGACGTTTCCGAAACAAAAAGACTTACTTGCTGGAAGAAGAGGCGGCGGCGATTGCACGGGCAGAGGCTGTTCTAGACGGGCAAATCGCGATATCTGACTGGTTAACGTGACGAGCAAACGAGGATGCCATAGCTCCCCAACGGCGACGAGCTGAACCAAACAGGTCCATAGCAAAATGCTCGAACACACTCTAATGAACCAAACCTGCAAGCGAGTTTTAGGGATCACCGGAGCTTGAAGCTTATCGCATCTCCCCGGTACACTCTCAGATCTAACCTCCATTTCACTTCCACGCACCTCATTGCCGCTTCATTGAGAATGATCGCTTTTACACCGATTTGGATAACATCACGATTAACCAGTTCGATTTTGGGATAAATTCCGTAAATACATAAAAATACACGTACAATAATCGACCAAGCGGGAAGCTCAAAAGGAGCTAAGCCAACAATCTTTGCTTCTTCAACGCAGAGCAGAGAGACAATAATGCGACTCGATAGCTATAAAAATTGAAAGCAAAGCCAGAAATTTGTCTCCAAAACTGAGGCTTTTTAGGGATCCAGAAAAAGAAAAAAAAAAAAAAAATCTTTTAAGGGGGTTTTTTTTTTTAAAAAAAAAAAAAAAAGAGTAGATTGAGAAAGCCGGTAGCGATCACGAGGGGAGAGTTGAGAGGAGGAGAAGAAATAGAGAAATAGATTGTGACCAAGCAAACACAACCGTCAAACGGTTCTTTTGAAATTCTTCCTTGTTAATCTGCGCTCACTTTGGTGCAAAATACTGCTACCATGATGACATTTTCCGGCTGTTTCAAGGAAAATCCTTTAATAATTAAATTGCTTCTTTGTCAAGGTTTGAAATTTGCAGTTTTAGGAGGAGATGGAAGGAGTTTTTGGGTCGCTTGGAAGATCCTAGGAATCGACTCGATCGGACGGCTCCGATCTTTCCTATGATTTTGCTATGGTTGCTCTTGTTTACAGTTTAACATTTCTCTTCCTTCCTTTTTTTTTTTTTTCTTTAAATAAAAAAGATAGGTAAGGACACATTTGACCTTTTACTCGATTGAGTTGCATGGGATGATTTTCTTGTTATTCACCATAATAAATGTCATTTTCATCAAATGCCATTTTTATGTAAACTTTTGTTTATTATGTTTCTCAAATTATGTATGAGAATTATTTATAGTATATCAAGTAATTTTTTAATTAAAAAGTAGTATATCAATATAACGAATGGTAAAAAAAGAAAAATTATTAAATAAAGTATATAATTGAAAAAGAAAAAAAGAAAAAGAAAAACCCACCAGTTTGGAATAAAGAAATATTTATTAGTTTTAGAGAGTGAATTCAACCATAGTTACTATTTACTATCTCTAACCGACAGGTTTTTAAAGTTTTCTGAATCGATTTAATTATTCATTTATATTGCATTTATAATTAGTTTGCTCATCAAAAAAATAATAAGGTTTAAAAAATAAAGGCAAAACAATTTACTAATTATTATTATTTTCGGTAAAGATTAAAGAGTCAGCCCTGCAAAACTAAACCTTAATCATATATAAAAGATTCAATACTAATTTTGCATGCACCCAAGGGTCAAATTTCTATCATTCCAAATGAACTAATATATAGATTACATACACGCTTTTTCCTTTCAAGAAAAGTTGGGTTTGCCTTTCGATTCATATATGTATATATATTTCAAAATGTTAGGCTCAAGTAGACCATAAAGCATAAACAAACGGTATTGCCAAAGTGGGACGCAGTTTGCCCACGCTATGATGGAGAAGAATAAATTAATAATTATGTTATTAATAAAATATTATGTCATTGCTGTTTACTTTTACTTTAATAAATATAATTAAAAACAATTTAAATTATTTTGAAGATGTAATGTTAAATTCTAGCCTAATAGCTATGTGTCTTCTATGAAGTAAATTTTATTGGGGTAGAGATGAATTTCTAGTGTTTTCCAACAACAATTAATAGATATTTAAAACTTTACCGGGGGTGAATTCAAAGGGTTCTAAGGAGAAAGGTGACTTCAACATAATTTTGAAGAGTAGGGAGAGATGAAGTGAACACTTCTCTAGTAGTTGTTTGGAGAAATTTAGACTGACACTTGAGACTGTGGGACTAATAGACTCACCGTCGATGGAGGGAGGGAGGGAGGGAGATGGACGTGATCTAACCAGAGGAGTCCTCCAATCTGTTCAAAATTATCTTTAAAATATATATTTATATTTAATATGCTAAATTATTAAAATTTTTTTCCATCGTTTAAAGAAAATTTATCACAATATAAAAAACATCTGCCTAAAAGAAAGATTGCTCAAGAAAAGAAGCGGAATAAAATTAATTTATATTGAACACGTAAAAAAATTTATTTCTGGTTGTATCCCATTTTAGTATAAGTTCAAATTCTTTAATTAAAAGATTAGTTGAGACCGATTACGCTAAATTTAGTTATAATTTTTTTATTGTTTTTTTAAATAATTTACTTTAATTTTTTTAAAAATAAAAAATAAAATTCTAAGTAGATAACATTACTTGAAGTACATATTAATTTCTTTTAACTACTCATTTTTATCAATAACTAAGTGCTAAATCACCATAATGTCTATAATTTATTTATTTTTTATCTTTTACCACCTACAAATGTCCTCACATTTGAGAGAGTCTCTAATACTAGAATTTTATTTTATTTTATTTATAAAAGATAAAAATCTATATAATACTAATAGAGTATTTACAATATCCTCCTCCCATCCTCATTCTTGTTTTGCTTGGGCTAATTGGAGTCGGTGGGTTGGGTTAGGACATGAGTAGTTTCTGCGTTTTGTTAATACTTCCAAAGGGCTGGCCTAAAACCTCACCTTTTAGAGAGACAGAGAGAATTGCATGGACAACGAGACTATTATGCTTCTTTTTTTAATTAAATATGTCATTACTTCAATTCCTTAATTAAAAATTTTTAATGAAATTTATATAATTTATTAAAAATTATACTAATTGTATAATTTAAGAAGTTAAAATTATTTATACTAATTTTCTAATTAAAAATCAAAATATGTGTTGCAATTGTAGTAATTGTTTTATTAAAAGTTCTGTCTGAATTAAAGCTATCTAATTCAAAATTTTACAAATTATTTAATCAAAATAATACTGAAATTAAATTGTCTTGGTAAAAGTTTTAGCATATGAATATCTGGACATAAAGAAGGCAATTGATAAATAATATATAAATTTATAACATTTAAACATAAAAGATTGTATGGTATATACTCCTAGTTATTTTTAGGTAGTTGTTGTAAACCTAAACTTTGTATGTAAAGGCTCGAAACTTAAATGAAAATAAAATCATAAATTAAATGTAGAAGTGAAATAAAAGAGTTAGAATTTTCATTCCTTACACAATTATTTAGAATGCCTAATATGGTTATGAGAATGTCTCTTCTAAAAGAATAAACAAAAATAAAAAAAATAAATGAAAGACAAATAACTAAGCAATCATGGGACGACCTTCGCTAGCTCTTGAAGGGAGTCCGAATGGTGAACTATTCATAACTTTCTTGTTGATTGGGATCTGTATCTTAGTTCTCTTGATCTGAAATAGTTAATGAATGGGTGAACTATACTACCCCAATAAAAATATCACACTAATAACAAATATGGAAACCTAAATATTGGTAAAAATAGGAAAAAACAACCAATTGAGCCATTAATTTAATGTAAATTCATTTACTATAAAGAAAGTCACTTATTCCATTTCGTGTAACAAGTCTTTCCCAACAATAATTTATGAAAACTCATATTCATGCACTATTATTTATCACATAGAAGATACTAGTACTCATGGGGTCCATAGGGATGTCCTCCTACTCGTGAACATAATATCCAATTAAACAATTAACTGGTAGTTCTCATACCCCATTCGATAATGGGTACCAAACATTCCACCATCTCGATACTCCGTCTGGTATGAAGACGAACCATATTTTTAAACCTTATTGGTAAGGGACTTCTTAGCCCCGTTTGACTGAGGTAACATTCACGATAGTGTTTCCTATGTACCGGTCCCGTCCGCTCTATCCTGGGTACCTAGTAAGCATTTTCCATACATATTTCTATCAGCATAACAATTAACTATGTAATAACCATATCTTATTTTATACTCACAGTTCATTTAGATAATAATATAGTTTAACACA